CTTAAACCAAATGCTTTGATGTAAATTTGATCACTTGAGGCTCACCTTTCCCTTTGTTCTGGATTAAAAAAAACTCTTGACAACATCAATGAGAAGGAAGAGTGGATTAAGCAAGTAATGGACCTTTATCTGACTCTTGTGAAATACAGTGACCCATGAAGGTCTCCATGAATTATACATCTTCTTTAAAGAGTCATATCCAAGAAGCTCAAAAAGTCCTCCTAATGAGGACTCAGTAGATCAGTTTGTTATTGGATAATATTTAGAGATTTGGAACTAAACTCTTTGGATACAATAATCTGGGTAAAATGAAATGTAAAACCGAATCATCAATTATTTTAAGGTGTATAAATCTAAGCTTCTCTTTTAAATTTATTTAACAACTTAAAATGTTTTAGAAACACTTATTAAAAGTGTTATTCAGGGCCAGGGATTTAGCTCAGCAGTTCAGTGGCCTGCCTTGCAAGGGCAAGGACCCAAGTTCAATCCCCAGTACCAAAAAAAAAAAAAAAAAAAAGTGTGTGTGCGAAGACATGAAAATGTGCCAGAGAGTCCCAAGCCTAATAAAACAGTAATTTTATTTGCATACACGTTTCCCACCTGCCCACACATCTTGTTCTTTGGACAGTAGGAAGAGATTGTAGTCGTGAGGATAAGGGAAAGTAGCAACTATTGATTAAACCACCACAGTACCACAATTGCACATTTTGTCATGAAAAGGTTAGTTTGCATGTTTGTTGTGTGCCCTACTTTGTGCAAGATGACTTTATATACATTTAGTATTTCATTATATTTCATTTAGTATTCTCAACAGCTTTGGAAAATGGTTATTGTCCTCATTTCATAATCAGTTTGAATCGATCCCCGGTACCAAAAACAAAACAAAAAAACAATACATGAGTTTGGGGCTCAGAAAATCATGTAATGTACTCAAGGTCGCTGTGTAAGTCAGAATCCACAACCTGATCTGCCTGTGTTCTCTCCTCCCTCATGCATACCACCTTCTACTTTTCTCATATAAATAGGAAAATTATGGGCTTATGTGAGCAGTGTATTTGTATGTGAGTCCTTGCAACTTCATATGAAAGGCCTGAAAAGATACATTCCAGTCTTTATATTTCTGGGGAGTAGAACTAGGTGCAGGAGTTCTATATTTCTTTGTATTCTTTAGATATGAAAAAATGAGAAGTAATATTACAAGGTAGGTTGTGAAGTAAGGATAAATGGCTCAAGCAGTTCCTGTTGTAGGAGCTGAAAGGAGAAATAAGCTAGGCTGAATTCGATGTAGAACATATCAGAGAAAATGTTGCCAATCTCTTGGTTCTGTCTCCTGTCACTTCCTTCTTTGCTTTCTCTGTTCAAGCCACATCGTTGAACTGAGTGCTCCTTAAAGAACCCTGGCATGCCTTTGCCTCCAAAAATTTGCTTTGTCCGTTTTACACAGAGCAGTCTTTCACAATAATCATGTGACTTGCTCCTCACATCTCAGCTGTTAGCTAATCCTTCCCTGCCACATAAAGCAGTCTCTCTTCCCCCTTACTCTTTGTGCCTCTGCTTTTTTTCTCATTTACTGCCATTTGAATATAGACTGGTGCAACCATTGTGGAAATAAGTATGGAAATTTCTCAAAGAGCTAAAACTAGAGTTTCCCTTTGGCCCAGCTAAACCTCTTCTTGGTATCTTACCGAAAGAATTTAAAACATCGTACCACAGCGATATATGCACACCCGTGTTTATAGCAGCACAGTTTATAATAGATAAATCTTGGAAACAGCCCAAATGCCCATCAACTGATGAGTGGATAAAGAAGATGCGGGGTTTTTTTTATATACAGTGGAGTACTACTCTGCTATAAAGGAGGATGAGCTTCAGACATTTACAGCTGAATGGATGGACCTTGAGACCATGCTCCAACATAAATTGGACACACATGTTTAAGTACCGCATTTTTCTCTGGTGTGAGAAACAATGGAAGTAAGGACTGAAATGTATAACAGATGTTGGGAAATGGGAAGAAAGTGTTCAAATGGGAAGGGGAACAAGGGAGGAGTGGGGAGGAAGGAAGAAAGTGACAAAAGTGAAAATAGAAGGAAAAAATGGAAACAAAGTTTTTGTACATAGGGAGGGGAGGGGGCATGGGGGAATGGGTTTAAATGAAATTTATTTTTAAAAACATGACATGGGCCAGGGATTTAGCTCAGTGGTGTTGCCACCTGCCATGCAAGTGCAAGGACCTGAGTTCAATCTCCGGTACCAAAATAAAACACTTGATAATAGCATTTCCCCATATTTAATTTTACAACTCCTCCCAAAATATATCCTACTAGATTAAATGCCATTTTACATGCAGTGTATTTTCAAAAACTATGGTGAATTTTTAAATTTATTAAAATCACTAGTTTGTAAAATTATTTTTCTTTCAGAAAATTTCCTTCATTCATGACCATCATAAAAAAGACCATAAGCCTGATGTGGCCATGGATGTTTGCCTCTTCATTAACAGTAATTTTCTTTTGAAAGAAATGGTCCATTTTGTAGCCTCAAAAAGCTTCAAGGAGGAATGATTTCCCAAAAATCAAAGAAAAAGAAAAAGTTGAAGTTCTATCAGTTTATTTTATTTTATTTATTTATTTATTTTTCCAGTACCAGGGATCAAACTCAGGACCTTGTACTTGTCAGACATGGTACCACTGAGCTATATCACCAGCCTGAAGTTCTACCATTTTAAAGCATTAGAACTCATTTGCCTTATTTTAACATCTCTAGGTCAGGATCACTGCAGTCAGCAACCTCTGATTCATTTTCCTTAGTGCTGTAGATCACTGGGATATTTTTTGAGTTTTTCAACAACATTTATAAGAATAATAGTAATTTGTAGTGCTTCAGAGTTTGTTTAGCTGCCAGGTTCTTTGTCCTTTTTGTCCCTGATCTCATATTACTTTTATATCAGCCTAGAAAGATAAGCGGTGTTGATTTTACTATTCCTCTTTCAAAAATCAGGGAGGTAGAGGCTTAAAAAATGAAGCCGGAAAGTGCTATGGAAATTCCAAGGACTTTCCAGACTGCAAATGTACATCTTTCTCTATACCTCATCCGACCCTTCCTCCCCAAGTGCATGTTTTTCACTCATCATTCTGGCTTTATATCTGCTTGACTTTAACCTCCACCCTCCATTTGTTTCCCCTTTCAATTCTTAGTGTCATGTGTAACACCTGGACCTATGTGGCCATCTGTTGCCTTCCATCCAGTGAAAAACTTACTCCAGGTGTTACTCTTGCCTTTTGAATAGAAACATAATGAAAGAGAAACTCAGATAATCTGAGCTGTTTCATTCAGGGTGGTCAAAATGGCACTTTTTTTTATTATTAAGCTTATTGATACATTTTAAGTATAAAGTATAGTTGCATTCATCATTGGGATCTTGTACTTTTACAGGATGTACCTTGCTTCTTATTTTTTCCCCATTCCCCCACCCTCCCTTCACCCCTCCACCCTTCCCTGTTTACAAAGACTTTGTTTCTATGTTTTTCCTTTTCTCATATTCTTAATTTTTCCTTCTTACCTTTCCCCTACCCTCCCACTTCTCCTATTCCTTTAGACCTTTTCTTCCTGTTACATAATATCAATCATACATTTTGATCCTTATTTACACTTTTAGTTTTTTACACCAGAAGAACTATTTGGTATTTACCCATGTATATCTTACTAATTTCACTTAAGAGTATAGCCTCAATGTGGATGCACTGAGTTATGACTCTAGTTTTGCATTCTTTATGGCTGAGCACTCCATTTAAAAAAAAAAGAAAAAAAAAAAGTACAGAGCAAGAGTGCTGCTCCTCAATGGTGCTGCTGCCTGTCTTGAAAGTACAAGGTTCCAAGTTTGAACCCTGGTACCAAAAAAACAAAACAACATCACATCTTCTTGATCCAGTCTCCAGTTGATGGGCAATTGGGCTGTTTCCAAGTTTTAGCTATTAGAAATTGCTGCTATAAACATGGGTGAGCATATATTACTGTGGTATGATCCTTTTAATTCTTTTGGGAAGATACCCAGCAAAGGAATAGCTGGGTCAAATGGGACTTCTAATCCTAGTTGTTTGAAGTATCTCCATATTGATTTCCACAATTGTAGTACCAGTCTGCACGCCCACCAACAATGGAGAAGGGTTCCTTTCTTCCCACAACACCACCAGCATTTGTTATTGGTGGATTTCTTGATAGCAGCCATTCTTTGTGGGGTGAGGTGGAATCTCAGTGTTGTTTTCATCTGCATCTCTTGAGTGACCAATGATGTTGAACATTTTTTTCTTATATTTATTTGCTGCTTTTACTTCTTTGTCTGAAAAATGTCTGTTTATTTCAGATGCCCATTTTTGAATTGGGTCTTTATGTTTGGGGGGGTGATATTTTTTAATTCTTCATATATTCTAGATAGTATACCTTTGTCCAAGGAACAGCTGGTAAAAATTTTTCCCACATTGTAGGTTGTCTCTTAGCTCTGTTGGTGATTTCTCTTGCTGTGCAGAAGCTTTTTAAAAAGATGAGATCCCAGTTGTTGACTCTTTCTGCTAGTTCCCTTGCCACTGAGGATTTGTTCATAAAGTTTTCCTATGCCAATATCTTCAAAAGTTCTACCTAACTTACCTTCCAGCAAGTTTAGTGTTTCTGTTTTAATATTTAGATCTTTAATCCACTTGGATTTTAATTTAGTGCATGGTGAAAGATAGGGGTCTAGTTTTAATCTTTGGCAAGTTGAAATCCAGTTTTTCCAACAACATATCTGGTGCTTTCCTTCAGTGTGCTGGGTGATTTCTTTCCTGTATCTGTTTTCCTTTCCATATCACCTACACAGTTAGTGTTCTGTGTTCACTGCGTGTTCTTCATGGGACAAAGCAACTGGTTTTCACCAGGTTTTCTGTATCTTTGTGTTTTTTTCCCCTGAAAATTATTTTTTAGATATCAGGATTTCCTGAAGAAAAGATCAAAGAGGAATTATCAAGAATAGATTGTTTTTGAATGGTTAAACCTAAAATGTCCACAGCCTTGGCCCTGCAGACTGTAGAAGCACAGCAAGGACTTCTGGAAGTGAGGCTGAAGGAAGAGGAGATGGTCCATGCCCATGAGCGACACTCTAACTCGTCAAGAAAGAACCTTGAAAGCAGGGAGATCTTCCGTAGACGCTTCAGGCAGTTCTGCTACCAGGAAACCCCTGGACCTCGAGAGGCACTGTGCCGGCTCCGCGAGCTCTGCCACCAGTGGCTGCGGCCCGAGACCCACAGCAAGGAGCAGATCCTGGAGCTGCTGGTGCTGGAGCAGTTCCTGGCTGTTCTTCCCGAGGAGCTGCAGGCCTGGGTGCATGAACAGTACCCAGTGAGCGGGGATGAGGCAGTGACTGTGCTGGAGGACTTGGAGAGGGAGCTGGATGAGCCAGGAGAGCAGGTGGGAAGATCAGGGAACAGGAGTTTGCACCTATAGAACAAATAAGAGGTTTTAATGAAACAAGAGGAAGGGCAGGAAAAAAATTTCTTTATGCCTAACTTGATCTGCTGTATGCTCTTTATCTCTCTACCTTTGTATTTTATTTGCTGTCTTCTTGGATCTTTTTTACCCGGTGACCAGAGGAGCCCTCCTTTCAGTATCTTCTCATACTTCATTCCCAGCTGTTCTTTGTTTTCACCAGGTCCCAAGCCATGCTTATGAGCAGGAAGAGGTTGTGAGGGAGAAGTCAACTCAAGAAGCATCCCAGGTGTCCTCAAGTGGCCACTGCCAGAGCTTGGAAGAGCAGCTGCAGTGTAACTTGCAAGAGGTGTGCCTGGTGCAGGATATTGGTGAGGAGTCGCCTCTTCTCAGGGAGCCTACCCCATTCCCTGAATGTTCATGTACTCAGCCCATTCATTCAATGTCTGCTCCGTGCCATGCTTGGTATCAGGTGCCATGGAGACTGTGATAAGCAAGGCAGTCCTGCTTCCCACTCCTGTGAGGTTTACATCTGAGACGCAGGCAGTCAGACAAGCATCTTTTCTTAGAGTCTGAGTAGAATTGTTTTAAAATGGGAAAGTCAGTATTGTCCCTTTCCTCTCATTTTCTGATTTTTCTCTTTGGAAAGATAACATTCATGCCATCCTCTTATTATTTCAGGTGATAAAGCTGGGACTTGGAATTTGGAGTTAGCACCAAAGGAGGAAATCTCTAAAGAAATAAAATCTCCCGTAGAAATAACTAGAACACTCAACAGTGATGTCACTCAGGTGCCTGAATGTGGAGATGCCTCTGACCAGGAGGGCAGACTAGACAGGCACCGGGTAAGCTCCTCGGTGGAGAGGCCCTATGTCTGTGGGGAATGTGGGAAGAGTTTCACCCAGAACTCAATCCTCATCCAGCACCAGAGAAGGCACACAGGCGAGAAGCCCTACATGTGTGGTGTGTGTGGGCGGGCCTTCAGCCAGCGGTCGGGCCTGTTCCAACACCAGAGGCTGCACACCGGGGAAAAGCGTTACCAGTGCCGTGTCTGTGGTAAAGCCTTCAGCCAGAATGCTGGGCTTTTCTACCACCTTCGAATCCACACTGGGGAGAAGCCTTACCAGTGCAGCCAGTGTGGTAAGAGTTTTAGTCGCCGCTCTGTCCTCAGTAAACATCAGAGAATTCACACCGGAGAGAGACCTTATGAGTGTGAAGAATGTGGCAAGAACTTCATCTACCACTGCAATCTCATCCAGCATCGGAAAGTCCACCCTGTGGCTGAGCCAGCTGGCTCCTTGAAACAGGTAGGGCAAAATCTCTGAGGTTAGACCCTGAGGCTGGGTAGCAAGGGTACTATTTCTTGCTTGGTCTCTGAGAGAGCAATCATAATTTCATCCTAACATAGAAAGTTACAGGGAAAGCCAGTGGAAATGCCCTTATTTTTATGCTGAAAAAAAAAAAAAAAGACCTATTAAATGCATCTGTCAAGTTCTACATGACCATTGATATACATAGCTTTACAGTGCCACAACTTGCTTCTTTCTCATAATAATATACTTCATTCTACACACCCATGAAAGAAATTTCTGGATGTACTTCAGGAACACTACTTCATCTTTTTACAATTTTTAAAAAAATTATATCAAAAAAACCAACAACAACAAAAAAGGGCTGGGGATTTAGCTCAGTGGTTCCTCCGCCTGCCTCGTAAGCACAAGGACCTGAGTTCGATACCCAGTACCAAAAAAAGAAAAATTATATCAAAGGTAATTCACTATTTACAAATTAATTTTAAAATAGTAAGATTTTCTTACTGACTTCTTTCTATTTACATATAATTTGTTTTTTAACCTAAAAAGGTGTTAAATGTACAAAACCTCTCCCTATAGATTTCATGTAACAACCTTCAGTCAGGCCAAGGAATTATAGCATCCATATTCCTGGTAGCTCAGTAGCTGGTTATAACTAGTAGTGATCATGATTATAAATCTGTGTGGAGACCAAGAAACTAACAAAAATCTGATATTTCAGATCTTTGTTTTGAAAACTTTGGCTTCTTTGCATTTTTCTTATATATAATAAAAAAAATTTTTTGCAGGTTTTTTTTTTTTTGTGGTACTAGAGATTGAACTCAGGGCCTTGTGCATGCTAGGCAAACGTTCTACCACAGAGCTGGATCTCCAGCCTGCTTTAGTCAGTCTTTTGTTTGGAATATCTTAATCATTGCTAGAGTAGAGAGAAGAGTATGATCTGCCTTGCATGTTGATTATTTTTGATTGCAGTGCTAGGGGTTGAGCCCAGTTCCTAACACATGCTATACAGGGTGCTTTACCACTGGCTAGCCTCCTAGCCTTTAGTAACTTCCACATTTCTTGGCACTCCTTGTTGTCGATCACCACCAAGGTCATTTATACAAAATTAAAATTTATTTCTCTTACTCTTAACTGTTTATAAACTTTTGTGTGTTTTTGTATACCAGGTAAGTATTCTATTACTGAGCTACACTCCAGCTCTACAATGCTTTATACTAGGCCCAGGAGACAATGCAGTGGAAACCCTGTGGTGATAGCAGTCTCATTTGAAAGACCAAATACATAGCAGGTAATTTAAGAATAGTAGAATCTAGATTGATATAGTGGTGCATCCTTATAATCCTAGCACTTTGTGAGGCTGAGGCAGGAAGACCACACGTCCAAGCCCAGGCTGTGCAGTTTATCAAGTGAGACCCTACCTCAAAATAAAAAAATTGAGAAAAGGCCTGGAATGTTATTTGGTGCAAAGGCCCTGGATTCAATTCTCAGTACTTAAAAACAAACAAGAACTATCAGAGTACTGAAGAAACATAAAGATAACTTCTGGATACCCTTAACTGACAGGGAGAGGAAGCTCTGGGAAGTGGTCTAAAATCATACAGCCAGCTAAAAACAGAGATGAGACTAGAATCTTGCCTCCTAATTCCTAGTGCCATGCTCTTTCTGCTGTCACTGGAAACATTATGTCACCCTACAGAAGTTATAAGAATATAGAACATAGACGATTTACAAGTCATTGAGAAGTTTTTTTTTATAGCTCAACACCTCCCATCTGAGTTTTAATAAAAGCACACCTCTAATTTACAGTGAGGTTCAGGAACAATTTTTTTCACTTATTTCTCATTTGAAGCATTGTATTTATTTTTTGAGTGATCATGTATTTCTAACTTTTTACTCTTACCTAGTAGAACTTTTTTTTAAAAAAATTTATTCACCTGGTTCAAAAATCAAAACAGTATAAAATGTCTCCATCTTTTCCTTTATAGGTATCCATTTTACTAGTTTCTTATGTTTTTTAATGTATTTTATGTAAACATAAGAAAATTAAAATATATAATCTTACTTCTTCCTTGCACAGTGTGTTAGTTACTTTTCTCGTATTGCTGATTCAAAATGTCCACCCAAAGTTAAAGGGGAAGGAGTCTGTTTGGCTTACAGTTCAGAGATATTTCAGTCCATAATCAGCTGGCTCCAAGACAGGAATGGCAATCAAGCTTCGCAGAGGAGAAACAACATGGCACACACAAGGCAGCAAAGGTAATGAGAGTTGCCAGCATCTTTCTGCTCCTTTTATCTTATTCAGACTACCAGGGATTAGAGTGGTTAATTGCTCATGTGCAATGGTTTAGAAATCACACACCCTTTTAACCCCAGCATCACACATTCCAAATTTAGCTACCTCTGAAAAAGAAAGTCCCACCTCATTTGCATTGAGGCTTTGGAGGACCATCTAAACACAAACCATAACACACAGAAAGATGGCATATTATTTACACTGTTCTCTGCCTTAGTGTTCTCATGAAAGAATATAGTCTTTGGGGATTTCTATAGCATGACAGATAATTTCCTTATTCTTGTTATGGGTAAATAATACTTCATTTGTTGTTGTTCCATAGTTTAACAAATGGTATAGGTATAGAAACACAGAAGTTTTTCTTTGACTCAGTCTTCTTTAAATTTTTCAATTCTTAATTAATTTTCTCTTTCCTTCATTAGTTTTGGTGGATTTTGGAGTTTTTTAAATTAACTTTGTCAGTGTTTTTAATTTCTCTCATTCTCTTTACCCCTTTCAACCATTTCCCCCTTGTCTTTCATTTTTTGTATTTTTCTCTCTGTTCTTTTTTGTTGTCATTCATTCTTTCCTTTGATGAGAAGAGCAATGATCAGTAGTTACCTACATCCAGAAGGCACCACTAAAAAGTAGACATTAAAGAGATCTCCATACTAGTAAAAAAGCTTGCCACTATAATCAACCAGCAAGCCTCAACACAAAACAAAAAATAGAAACAAGAAAAGACAAGACAACAAAATGTCTCCAAGAACTCTCAGCTACTCAAAGTTACTCCACCAGGCATAAATGGGGAGGAAACCAAAAGCCACACAGCCAAGTTATTTGAAAATATAACAGATAACAAAACATCAGCAAGGTGCTTGGCAAAGCACACAGAAGATACAAGTAAACAGATAATGGAGCAAATAAAATAATCAGTGACTATAGAAGACAAAGAGGTAGCAAAGATAAATGATGATGCAAAATATGAGTGACCAGCATAGAAAAGAATAATGTTACAGAAGGAATTGGTAAGCGACAAAGAGAGAAGCAGATTGGAAATAAAATTAAGTTTATTTTGTTGATGAAGGGCCGATTGCACTCAAAAGCAGTGCCAGAGATCAACCCTGTACTGGGATATAGCTTCCCATTTATAGGGTTTTACTGTCATGATCTCATTCAGGCAATTACATTTTATTCTCTCAGTTCACATTATTGATACACAAATTACAGTCAAGACAGTTAACTTTAGTTTTTTGTCTTTTGGGGTTTTTTTTGTTTTGTTTGTTTGGAGACAGGGTCTCACTATGTAGTTGAGACTGACCTGGAACTCACTATGTAGCCCAGGCTGGTCTCAAACTCACAATAATCCTCCTGCCTCAGCCTCCCAGTGCTGGGATTATAGGCGTGTACCACCACGCCCGGCCAAGACAGTTAATTTTAACCCAGATGTAGCAATCCTTTGTAGTTAGGGAGTTTACCTTTAAGATTCATCCTAGCCCATAGGAAGGGGGTGTTCCCAGTCTGGAAAGCAAAGTTAACAATGGCTTTTTTCATCTTGACAGTTTTACAATCATGGTTTACAGAACTTTGGAACTCAGGGTATTGATGTGCCCTTTATTTCAGGATGAGACCAGATGCCTCATTCAGTGGTTAATGCTTCCAGTGTCTATTAATTCTGAACCAAACAAACTGTTGTCAGAGACAGCAGAAGCCATTTTACATTGTGACATTTTGTAGGTTCTTTTGCTATTTTCAAGAGTTTTCTCTATCAAGAGTTCATTAAAAGGTCCAATAAAAATCCAGATTTAAAAATTGTATTGCAAGTAAGTAAAGCTTTTGGTTTCCTCCCCCTCCATGCATGCCAGAGATTGAGCCTCAGGCTTTGGGACAAGCAGAATAGAAATAAATGTCCCTCTCGGGACAATTTAGGGAATCAAGGGGTTTAGGGAATAAAATACCCCTTTATACTCCCTTCAGACTGATGGTAAGGATTTAAGATGACAACTCACAGATGAAAAGCAAGAAGAAAGTACAGAATGATAAAATCTCATTGTTTCATTTGGCCACAAATCCCCATCATTGTCCTATCCATCTTGAGACCAAAGTTCAGATCAGACAAAGACTGGGTATGTCAATTGTTGATTGAATTTGTTAATGATTAAAGACTGAGGTCTTGGAAGGAGATAGCTTACATACTGTGTTGGTGATGAGAACAAATTATCCTCTTTCTCCTAAAAACTGTGGGACTTAATAAGTAAAAGGGCCCTTCTCTATGGGGGACTCTCCAGAGTCCTGCCCCCAGTCCTTAATCCCCAGCACCCCAGACCAGCCACTCCACTTCAGCAGGAGCTGGAACCAGGTGGGGAGGGGGAGCCAGTTCCTGGTGGAGGAAAACTGACTTTGTCCTTGGTTCAAGAGAAAAGTAAAAAAAAAAAAAAGGTGCCAAAAAGATGTTCAGATTCTTCCATTTCCTAAAAGACCAAAGAGGGGGTTCAAGCCCTCCTCCCTTGAAAGTTTCCCCTGGGCAACAGAGAAATCAGGTTATGCACTTTAGCTAATTGATAAATATACTTTGGCTTCCAATTTAAGTTTTTATTTTTTGCTTAATTAGTATACTTAAAACATTTCTTATTGCGGCTCTCTGGGGGGACCCCGTCCCGTGGGGAATAGGAGGTGAGAGCCGCCTCTTATTCGTGGGTCATCAGAGGCCGATCCGATC